AAGTTCTGTCATAAGAGTACAAGTTCAAATGCGAATTGATTGAAGTGTAACCAATAATGTTGATTGATTTTATAATGCGGTCTTGTCGTGATGGGGACAAAGAATCGACAAACTGTCAGATGGCGAGTTTGCGAAAGGTAAAACCTAAAGACACATTAACAACACACACGTATGTGCCTCACATTCTTAGGGATGCCTATTTAATCATCGCAATCAATCATCTCGGATGAATGGCGATAATTAAAGGGTTCAGTTACAGCAGGTAAAATGTACGAGCTCGTATAATCAGTCAGTTTTGGTTTTCAAGCGAAAAGTAACAGTAGCGTGACCTGGAAGCTGTTTTAGTTGAAAATGATATTGAAGATTTAAATTTTTCACTGAAAGCTAATATATTTTGTGTCTGAGTTTCGCAATCATTTACATACATGCATATATACATACCTACATACGTACATACATACATACATACATACTTTATTTAAGGTATCAAAGAATAAACAACATAAATAATACCCTAAAAAGGAAGTTGAAGAGGTTAACCCTATGTAAATAAACTTCTAAAGAAATAAAATTTAAAAATGTATGCTTATAATAAAATCTAAGATGGATAAAAACCTAAGAAATACGCATGTAACATTTAAGAGTTGTTTTGAAACGTGTCAAGTTACCTATCTCAACGACATTGGCGGGCAGGTCATTCCATTCACAAAGGATTTTAACAAAAAAAGAGTATTTATAACAATTACATTTTGCCAATTTCATTTAGAGTTGTACAAAGGTCAAGCTTTTCTTAGAACTAACCAGTCTGTAAATAATTCTTAGAACTCAGACATTCGAAGCCTCTATAACGCGCCTTGATTGGTCGAGGCGGAGATCACAGGTCCCACAAAGCTTGAAGCGAATCCAGCCTTTTTAACTCGCTCAAAATCTCTTACGTCGCAGTTTTGTTTTACTCGACCATGGATATCAAAACTTTGCTTGACAATCTTCACGATGAAGTATCCTGTTTTGTGTGTATGACAACATTTACTGAACCCAAAATATTACCATGTTTCCACAGTTTTTGTCTCCGCTGTTTAAACGGGATCTTATGAACGAGTGGCCGCCATCATGACGTATTTCTCTATCCTGAATGCCGAAGAGGCAAATCCCATGCAGTGGAAACCTCAAGGATCTTCCGACAACCTTTCGTATCAACAGTTTGCTAGATGTGCTGGCCATCAAAGAATGCCATACTACTGGAGTGAAATGTGGTAACTGCGACAAAAGTAGCAGACACAACTCGTACTGTTTTCAGTGCTTTGCGCTCTGGTGTGAAGAGTCTATAATTGCGCATAAATTGATCAAAGCGAATAAAGAGCATCGAGTTATTGCCCTGAAAGATCTTAAATATCAAGACATTGAGGATGTCTTGAAACGGCCAACATTTTGCCATCAAAAGCATCACGAAAAAGAACTCAAGTTCTTTTGAAAAACCTGTGATGTTGCCATTTGTAATTCTTGCGTTGCAACCATTCATGATGGTCACGCTAAGATTCTTCTTGAACAAGCAGCGAGTGAACGCAAGTTACAAGTTCAGTCTTTGATCGAGTCGCAAAAGGAGAAAATTAAACAGAAAAGAAACGAAATTGTCGAACTTGAAATACTGTGTAACCATATTGAGCCACAAGCCGACACAGTGAAACAAGACATCCATAAGTTCGCTGAAAACATGATCGCAGCCATTGAAAAAAAGAGGAAGGAAATGATGATCAAAGTCGAACTACAACAAAAAGAGTCCTTTGCATGTGTGCGAACTCCAGTATACGAGGTAAAGCGTCAAGTGAAACTGCTGGAAACAGCAGTCGAAAAAGCTGAAACACTTTTAAAACGATGTACAAGTACCGAGTTAACACAGTCAATGAAGACGATCTTACCGGAAGAGGTCAGCGATGATGAAAAACAATCCTCATCTGACATTGAAGGTCTCCGTCAGTTCCGTTTCAAAGGAAACAAAACCTTACTTGATAGTTTAAACTCTGACAGCATCGGCTCATTTGTAACCTTTGTGAATAAAACTCTCGCTCATCAGTCAACCGCCGAAGGAAAAGGAATCAGTGAAGCGATTAGTTTAGTTTATAGTTTAGTTTATTTTATTAGTTTCACCAACCGGCAGGGACACCGCAACAGCTTGCGCCAATTACAGCGGGCCCAGTAAACCCACCC